CCACCACCACCAAGCTCTAGCGCCCAGCTCTCCTTTTTTACTTTTATATTGAAGACAGATTCTCAATACATTGCCCAGGCTGGATTTGAACTCACTCTGTAGTGTAGGCAGGCTTTCCGTACATGCCTGTCTCCCGCCTGTCTCCCAAGTAGATAGGATTACAGGCCTGGTATATATCTTAGAAGCTTTAGGTTCAGGTGCTTGAAGTAATGTTTATATTTAGCCCATAGGAGTTACTGGGGTTAATAGTACAGTGTGTGTGTGTGTGTGTGTGTGTGTGTGTGTGTGTGTGTGTGTGTGTTTATGTATGCATGTGAAAACTGATAATAGGTGTTGTATAAATTAAACAGAGCTCGTGTGCCTGGAGGTTTTGCTGGAATATGTGTGCTTATATTCTTATATCAAAAAATCCTGATCTCTAATGTGGCTAAGGGATGTGTGACTGCAGCTGCTCTCTGTCCCCCATGCTTCCTGTCACCTCAGAGAAGGAAGATGGCAGGGCTTGGTGGCCTTCAGCCAGCTCCTCTGGGCCTTTAAGCTCATGTCTAATACTACCCTCTGGACACTGCCTACTTCCTGCCAAAAAGTTTTTTTCATTTTCATTTTTATTTATTTATTGAAACAAGGTCTCACTTTGGAGGCAGGATGGTCTTGAACTCACACCAGTTAGCCTGCTTCAGCCTCCCAAGTGCTGGGATTTACAAGCATGCACTGACACACCCACCATCACCTCCCGGTTTTATTTTGTTTGTTTGTTTCTCTGAGACAGTATCACTCTGCCACCAAGGCTGACCTGGAACCTCTGATCCTCCGGCTTCAGCCCTTCTTAGTGCCAGGGTTATAGGCATGCGCCACCAAGGCCGTGGTGGCCTTGATCTTCTTTCTCAGTGACTCTTGGAGCAGGGTGGGCTCTAAGGAGAGGGTGTATCTTGTGCTTTCCTGAGACATGCAGGTCTTCCTTTACAGATTCCTGCCAGAACTGAAGCTGGATCTTTCTGTTTTCCTCCTCTTGTTATTGGGGTCTGCTGTTTCTGTCACAAAGTGGACTCAGGGATCCAATAAACTGGAACCTGGGGGCTCCTCAGAGCAGGACCCAGACTTCCCTCCCATTTCTCTCATCCTTTCATGTAACTGTGATAATTGAGCATCTATAAAAATTACCAGAAGACCAATCTCAGATGCCTTTTGATTTCGTATGATTTTGTCACCTGTGGGAGGCTCCTGCAGATTAATAATTGGGATCAAGATAAGACAGTAAGTTTGAATTCTAGTTAGAACCCCAGATGAAGTAAGTTTGAGTAGATTGGTGTAGCTAGAGTTTTCCTGCCTTGCCCACAGTCAAGACAAATCTTTGTCACCCGCCAGTCCCACAGCCGCTCAGACCCAACCAAGTAAACACAGAGACTTATATTGCTTACAAACTGTAAAGAAACCATGGCAGGCTTCTTGCTAACTGTTCTTATTAAATTAATCCATTTCCATAAATCTATACCTTGCCACGTGGCTCGTGGCTTACCTGCATCTTCACATGCTGCTTGTCATGGCGGCTGCAGTGTCTCCCTTTCCCTTCCTGTTCCCTTAATTCTCCTCTCTGTTAGTCCCGCCTATACTTCCTGCCTGGCCACTGGCCAATCAGTGTTTTATTTATTGACCAATCAGAGCAATTTGACATACAGACCATCCCACAGCAGCTTGGAGTAGGGGACCTTTTGCCAGAAGTCCTGGCTACTCAGGAGCAGAGAGGATTTCATGAGCCAGGGAGTTTGAAGCTAGCCCGGCTTCTGGGGCGGGATGTCAGTGGTGAGAGAAATAGAGTGTGACCCTTTTTCTTTTATTTTTTGCTTGGGTTTACTATAGATACAACTTTTCAAATTATAGCAAATAAGGGGGCTTAAGGGAACTTGGGGTTTTTGACACTAACGTGATTTTGTTAGCCTCTATTTATGCAATTCTAGAGACAGACAGGACTTTTTTTTTTCTTACTTCTTATTGGTTGAGTTTGTTGTTTGACTAGCACTTGAATTTAATATTCTCTGCTAAGCTAAAGATTTTAATGACCTGCCTGAGGTCTTTGCACCAGTAGAGTACTGTCTATTTTCTGGCTCACAGCCTATTAATGCTCTGTTGCCTCTTGTGTACAGAAGTGCAGAGGACTTAAAGTTGGTTTCGTATTTTAAAAGATGTTTTATTTGTGTGTGTGTGTGTGTGTGTGTGTGTGTGTGTGTGTGTGTGTGTGCGCCTGAATGAGTTTGTGTGCATCATGTATGCTGGTGCCAAGAAGATGCCAGAAGTCAGTGTCATGGATCCCCTGGAATGAGAGTGTGATAGTTTGGGTTTCTATTGCCGTGAAGAGACACCACAACCACAGCAACTCTCATAAAGGAAAGCATTTAATCAGGGCTGGCTTACAGTTTCAGAGGTTTAGTCCATTATTGTCATGGTGGGAAACATGGTGGCATGCAGGCAGACGTGGTGCTGGAGAAGGAGCTGAGAGTTCTACATCTGGATCTGCAGGCAGCCACAAAAGAACTGTGTGACACTGAGCCTGTACTTAAGCATCTGAGATCTCAAAGCCCTCCCCCACAGTGACTCACTTCCTCCAATAAGACACACCTACTCCAACAAGACCACACCTCCTAACAGTGCCACTCCCTATGGGCCAAGCTGTCAAGCCCATGAGTCTATGGGGGCCATACCTATTCCAACCACCACATATAGTTCCATGTAAAATATGAGCTGACATGTGGGTCCTGGAAACTGAACCCAGATCCTCTGCAAGAGCAGGAAGTTCTTTTAACTGCTGAACCGTCTTTCCAGCCCCTGGTTTTGCATTTTACTGTCTGATAAAACGTGGAATTGGGTCCAATGCACATGCTAATACTGTTCCTGCATTGCATTAATGTGTTGGAGTAGCAGTTCCTCCTCAGCCTAGAGTAGGTTAGAACAAGGAAGACCCTGGGCCCTGGGGTGGTGGGAGTGGGGGAGTTTGTGCTGGGTGACCTCAGCAGTCAACAGTGACTGGCCACAAAGTTGAGAGAGTGACCAGAAAAGAGGAGGGACGTTTAGAGAAATAAGAGGGGTTGGGGATATGTGGAAGAGGCAATAGGCTCCAGTCTAAATTTATTTGCTTGCTTGTTTGTTTGTTTGTTTGATGTTATGGGTCAGTGTTTTGTTTGCATATTGTGTTTATGCATCCTGTGCAAATCTGTTGCCTGCAGAATTCAAATAACGCATCAGATCCCCTGAAGGAGGAGTTCCAGATGGTTGTGAGCCACATTCGGGTGCTGGGAACCAAACCCAGGTCCTTGAGTGCGAACCATCACTCCAGTCCCCAGTTCTTTATGGCTTTGTATAAACGAAAGCTAAGACAAAGGGCTGGGAGTCATCAGGACACTTTGTCAACATGGGCTTCTCAGGAGAGGGGCTCAGCATTTTGCACCAATGGGACCCTTTTCATTTTCTTGGGTTTTTTTTTCCAGTTCCAATTCCCTTCTTTAAAAAAGTTTATAATGGTGTATTATTAATTATATCTAGTAATGGACTTCATCACCACATTCTCATACATGTGTACATGCATTTTGATCCCATTCCCCAGCCCCCTCCCGCTGATGATTTCATCTCCCCAACTTCTTCTATCTACTTTCTTGTTGTCATTATCTTCCTCCTCCTCTTCCTCCTCCTCCTCCTCTTCTAATGACCCATTGAATTTCACTAGAGTTGTTACATAAACATGGTTGAAAGGTTATTACAGAAGCATGGGTACCTTACCTGTGGGTGCATCCCTGGGGGGTGAAAAGTCTCTTAACTACGTGTAGATCCTCCGGAAGGGCTGGCCTTCATGAGCCGCCCCCCTTTCCAGTTCTTCCAATTCTGCTTCCTCTTGACAGAGCTGGGCTGGCTTCAAATTTTCAACCCGAATTCCTCCAGCCCCCCCCCCCTTTTATTTTCTCATCTTCTGTCTCTGCCCCATTTCCAGAACTCTCTCCAAGTGCCACAGAGTAAAGCAGCTCAGAGGACTCGGGCTAGGAAAGAGCCCTTGTCCTCCAAGCTGCCTCTCCCATCTCAGGGCTTCCTGAGGAGGGAACATTTGGTGAGTCTGGAGTGAGGAGCCCCTTGCCTTGAGGACAAGAGGAGGCATGCCCTGAGTCTCAGCACTCCTTAATGTGGAAGGGGGAACCTGGGCGAGAGACTCTTTGGACGAGATAGAA